TATTTAAAGTCGTTTTCTTTTTGGGTTTTCTTGGCGTTCGTCACTTTTGTATGTCATAGTTGTTTTATATTTTCTTTCATAATATTTCTGTATTGTTTGGATAACTCAATTTTGTATCTTATAGGATACATTTTTGTTTGTTTGTATAATTTGACATGTTTAGTAGTTTTGATGCTCTTGAACAGGATTAGAATAGTTGGACATATTTGAAATGCTTTTATTTGCACTTTATATGTATATATATCTATTGTTAGCTTCTGATCAATAATATGTTTGTATATTTTCTGGGGCATGAATTTCTGTAGCAAGAATCATTAAAATAGTTATTTTAGCATTTTCATCGCTCAGAAATGATTCTCATGGAGAGAAGAATAAATAAGGAGAAGGCACCTCACATGGTTAAAAAATTAAAATAGATGATCGAGGTGATAGCGTTCCTGATGGTTTTATAGGAAGTCAGTTGTTAAATGAAGGTCATCTTTCTTATTTTCTTATTGGTTCAAATGGTGACCATTTATGAAGGTCCCCATTTGCTAATAGGAACTAGAAGATGGGAATGCTACAATTGTTTTTGAGAATGCTGTTCTTAAGGGTTACCTTAGTAACATTATTTGAAGATGGATTTGATAGAAATTTCACTTTTATTTGGTTGTTATACCTCAGTACCTCACACACACTCAACCCTGTTCTTGTAAATAACTGGCTGATTTATCTCCTGTAAATTTGTTGTGCTTTCCAAAATAAGAGAAAAATACTTTTTTTGCCTTTTATTTTTTACAGGAGAAGCTGTCTGTTATGGATTTTGTGGATAAAGATATAGCAAATATTGAGCCCATAAACCCCCCCTCAATTGAGTCCACCCCATTCAAGCTTGTGGAGGAAGTAAAAGATTTGAAGGAGTTAGTGGCTAAATTACGCAGTGTGAATGAATTTGCGGTAAAAATCAGACAGCTTTTTTTATGACTTTATGTGAAATGTTCATTCTGCCACAATGCATGGTATGGTTTAGAATGAAGTGTTTTCCCGGTCTGAAGAAAGGTGAACATATTCTGGGGATCAGGGCTACCGGTTTGACTGGACTTTCTATGCATCAAACATAGGATTTTTTTTTTCTTTATTCTCATAGCATG